TATATCTAGTATAGATATATATCAGTATCTTCTACCCCTGCAAGGTAGCACACATCAGTATTCCCAGCTGCTGGGGAGGCTGAGGCAAGGAGAATCATTTGAGCCCAGGAGTTCAGGACTAGCCTCGTTAACCGAGTAAAACCATTTTAAAAACAAAAGCCAAAAAAAAAGCCTAGTGCTGCAGTGACATTATGGTACTCGTGCTGCAGCAGGCTGTTAGCATTGAAAGCTCTAAAGGGTTCGTCATCACTGGCCTTGTGCTTTCCAACCTACAAGTTTTAGGGTCACATCTAGGAGATAGCCCTCCTCAGTAAATGACCCCACCAGTGAGCCTGCCGCAGCTGAAGCCCCACCCCCAGGGGATCTTTGCATCTATGAGTATGATGTTGAGAGACACTGGTGCTGTGGCTCTTAGGCAAGCATGGCCATCGTTTGCTAACACTTTCCATTACTTTGTATGTGTTTGGCTTTGACTCGCAATTCTCCAACAAGCCTATGAAGTAGGTGCTATTGTATTTTGCAGCAAAGGAGCAGAGGGTCATTTCCCATAATTGCAAAGCTCGGGGCAGGAGCCTGATTCTAGCACTGATGTTCTGGGTTTCTACAGGGCCTTTTGAGCTTTTGAAAGATTTTTGCATGCAATCCTGACAGCAAAGGTGGAAGATAAGTTTTCCTTAGAGATGTTGACTAATGTGACTAGGGTCTCAGCTCGTGGATCTGCTCAACTCCAGGACCTGATCTTACAGCCATGCTTGGACCCCGGTGCATGGCTGCATGGTGTAACATTGTTTCATTTCAGAAATTGCTAACAGGCTTTTCTCAGTTGTAAGTATTTCAGCATAGGATATGGCCAGTGCTGTATTAGGAAGTGAAGGATAGAGCAAGTAATTTTTGTTTTATTTTGGAGGGGTTTTTTTGTTTTTGTTGTTTTTTGAAGCAGGATCTATGTAACCCAGGCTGGCCTCAAACTCTGCAATCCTCCTGCCTCAAACTCCTGAGTGCTGGGATTACAGGTTTGCACCACCATGCCCAGCTACAGATAGCATATAATACCAGAAAAACTCAGGTTTTTTTTTTTTTTGGTTTTTTTTTTTTGGTTTTGGTTTTTTTGAGACAGGGTCTCACTATGTAGTTGAGACTCACCAGGAACTCACTCTGTAGCCCAGGCTGGTCTCCAACTCATAGCGATCCTCCTATCTCAGCCTCCCCAAAAAATCTTCTGTTTAATGAGAGGAATCTGCTCCCAGCCTGGAGGAGGAGCTGAGGGAGGGCCTAGTTGTCCTGGAGGTGATCAGGTGGGGTCTGTAGGTCAGGTGAGAGCAAAAAGGCATTCATTGTTCCTCGCAGAGGCAAGGCTGTTATACGCACTGTATGCACAGTGGCCTTCTGCCTTTCACATTGTCCAGTGCTCAGGTAACATCCCTCATTTAGACCTGGACATGCTTGCTTGGGAGTAGAGCCAGGAAAAAAAGTACTTTCCTCAGTTAGTTCCAGGTGGAAAGAAGATGGCTGCCATTTCTGGACTAAGAACTCAACTCCTTGAGTTTAACTTTTCCTTTCCCTGCTCCTGGTAATTTTCCATTTGCGCTGGGTGTGGTCCTGACTGGGGAGGATGTGGCCACCCACTGGGGAGGAGTCTGGTGCTGAGTCATTACTGGGTGACTTACTGCTCCTCACACACAATTCCTGATGGAGGCTTGGGGCTTCTGAGCTTCTGGAGCCAATCTAGTTTAGTGGACAGGAAGCCTTATGGGTGACACAGTTCTTTCTCTGCCCCCAAGAATAAATGGCTTCAGGTCACTTGAAGGGGCACTGGCTTCTGTGGAGCACAAAGGACTTGCCACAGATGGGAGCTTCCACACCCCCCACTCCACCCCCACAAAAGGACCAGAGATGCCACCATTTAAATTGTCCTTAGCAAACCGGGTGTCGTGGCGCACTCCTGTAATCCCAACACTCAGGAGGCTGAGGCAGGAGGATCGCCGTGAGTTCAAGACCAGCCTGGGTTACATAGTTCCAGGTCAGTTTCAACTACATAGTGGGGACCCTGTCTCAAAAAACAAAAAAAAAATTGTCCTTAGGAGAGGACCCACATTCCCTTAATCCTACCCTCCTGTCCTTGAGATAAGTGGCTCAGGTAGGCAGGCCAGGGTATAAGGACACACAGGTGGAGTCGGTGCAGGGAAGAAAGACACCTGCAGTAGGAGGACTCACCAATGTGCTCACACCCCTTACCCATCTTGTCCCACGTCGTCAGGACCCTTCAGTCTGCTTTGTCACTGATGGAAAGTGACAAAGTACCCAGTCAGAGCATTCTGGGGGACACGCAGGCTGCCTGCTGGAGAGCCTGAGATCTGGCCACACCCATGGTGGGAAAGCAGGTGTCAGGGCCTCCAGTGGGCAGGATGAAGCCACCCTAGAAGGCTTTTTCAGTGAGTCCTAATGGTTCTGGGCTAGAGAAAGACTGCTGGAGGTCACCTGTGGTGATAGGGTCCCCTTGGCCGAGGCAGTATTTCAGTCTAATGAATAAAGGACTTCTCAGTCTCCCTTCTTGCTCTTAAGGGCTGGTGAGTCATTCTTTCAGGAAGGTGGGAAAACCTAGATACAAAGTTGCATTAAATACTCCATATTCACTACCCTTCTCTTTCCGAAGCACAAAGCCTACTTTCTCTTCATCCCTACCTCCAAAGGGCCCATTTTTCCTCCTGGGCTTTGTCTGGAGGAACTGAAAACTCTACCTTGGTAGGTCTGGGGAGATTTTAGGAGTCTGAAGAAGCCACAGAATAAAGTCCACCTGCTGTGGCTCTAGAAGGTGCAGAGGATGTCCAAAGTGGTAAGAGTTTCTGCTTTAACTTAACATCAAAGCCGGGTGGGCTGGCCTGGCTATCTGTATTGTCCAGCAGAAACAACACCGCTGTTGGAGCAGAGGCCAGGAGGTCACATGATCTGATGGGAGAAAACCTGAAATGTTGCCCTCCTCACCTGGGCCCAAGATTTGTCTCCAGGCTCCAGGACTGGGTCCAGCATGATTTGCACACACACCCAGGAGTCCCACTGAACTTAGTTAAACCAAAAAACTCCAGATTCTGTGGTTCTGTGTCCAAGAATCTACACAAAACAGCACTCTGTGCCCTGGTCTAGGAAACCTAGCAGCTCCCCTTCCATCCTGACCAGGTCAGCGAACACAGGAAGGCTTTCTCTAGGCTGAGGGCTTGCACCTTAAAGAACCCCTGGCTTCTGTAGCCCTGGTGAAAGATTCAGAGGTCAGCCTAGGCAAGCTGTGCTTCAGAAGGATGTTCTGGCACTAAGCACTGGGACAACCCCCAAGGGTAGTCAGTTCCTTAAGGAAAAGGCTGCCTACCAGGCACCCTGTTGGAGTAACTCCAGTAATTCCCTTATCCACAGATCAGATTCCGCCCTGAGAAGCAGAGATTGTCCTCAATTTACTGTAAGGAATTGGACTCCTCATTAAATGACAAGATATGGTTATAGAACTGGAACTAAGATAAGATAACCCAAACTTGCTTTTTACTGTGCTGCTTCTCAGTGAAATTGAGACTGTTACCTGAAAGCCAGTGATTCATGTATGCTGTGCATCTAGCGTGAGCAGGAATATGATGGGTTAGTTGGAAGTCTTTTGGACAGCATTTATTTCTACAACTGCGATGATCAGGTTCTGCAACCAACAGACACCAATGTGCATTTTAATCTTGGGACTAGTCAAGAAGCCACATAGCTGGGTATGGTGGTGCACGCCTGTAATCCCAGCACTCAGGAGGCTGAGGCAGGAGGATTGCTGTGAGTTGGAGACCAGCCTGAGCTACATAGTGAGTTCCAGGTCAGTCTCAACTACGTAGTGAGACTCTGTCTCAAAAAAAAAAAAAAAAAAAAAAAAAAAGCCACATAGTCCAGCACAGGCAGATTGCTGCCACCGGGTGCTGTCCACCACTCTTCATGGATCTTGAACCAGCGAGGAATCTGGCTCCCTCCTCCCGATGCCCACGTTTTCCCTTGCAACTTTATATTCTCTCACCACTTTAATAACCAAGTCCTTCCTCCCTGCCTACAACCAGGGGTGCCAGAAGAAATTAAAAGACTTCATAGCACTCAAATTTAGGCTGTCACTTTCCCCACCCAGCTTATCTGAGTTAACAGGAAGTGGAATGAAGGCCTGTGATTCAGCAGAGCTTCGGCCCGAACAGGTCACACCCTTTGGTCTCATTTTTCTGGCAGAAAAACAAAAAACAACAAAAAAAAAAACCCTCAAGAGAACAATATTCACCTTTTGAATGTGGCAACATTGTACCTGCCCTCAGAACTTGGCTGAGGAAGGCTAGCTCAACAGCTGTGTAACTGATAACTGCTCTCATTAGTGGCTGGTGAGCCTACCACTGGGAAATTCAGAAATGCCCTGCAGAAAATGTAAGAAAAGTTCCAACCACACAGATTTAAGTGCCCAGCCAGGTTGAGATTATCAGCCTGGCTCCTGCAGAGCGCTGACGTCCTGATTGTATCAGTGCCTTCAATTCACTTTCTACTCCCAGCTACTTGCTCTGCGGGATTCCTGCTGAGCCCCAAGCAGTCGTTCCTCGTTCCAAGGTCGAGCTCCCTGCTTCGCCTACCTCCCAAAGCGGCCCAGACTCCCCTCCATTCACTCCTCCTCGCTCCACACCACTTCCCGTTCCGCTCGGCGCTCTAGGCCGGTACCCATGGGGCGAGGAATCGCAAGGCGGGGCCGGGAACCCCAACCGGGGACCTACGAAACTGGACGTCGTCCAGGGAAGGGAGGCCCAGCGAGAAGCCCCGCTTCAGCTATCTACCTCCGGCGGCGACAGGTGGCTACGGCGCCTAGGGGTCGTGGCGGGGGGCACTGGGGCTGCGGGCGGGTCTTGCGGCCTTTCCGTTTTCCTATTGGCTCTAGAATGGTCGGTGGTGCGATTTGAGAAGCTTGTCCTTCCGCTGCGGAATATAGTCCCTCATCCCCGCTCAAGGGCAACCAGCACTTCCCGGGAAGGTGCCCGCGAGAGGACGCAGGGGGCGGGCACAGCGGCCGCGCCGCGATTGGGTGAGCAAGCGGAGGGATCGCGCGCCGCCTGGGTAACCTTGAGGACCGGCCCCTGCTCCGCAAAGCGGAGAGGCATCCAGTGTTTGCAGAGCGTTCTGCTTCTTTCTGCACCGCAACCCCTGCTGAGCGCACGAGGTGAGCTTGGGAGCCCCGGCAGTCAGTGATCCCGGGTACCCGGCCACGCCTCGTCATTGCTGGCACCCGGGCCGGGATGATGCCCCGTCTTTGGTTTAGCGGACCCGGCCGGTCTTGGGGCGAGGAGAAGGAGGTGGAAGCTGCTCGTTCCCGGGCCCCACGATCCCAAGTCTCTCTCCGGCCTCTTCCCCAACCTTCTCCAGGGCCCGACCTCACCTCTCGGTGTAGTTCCATCCTCGCCTCTCTTCCTCTTTCCTGTCCCAACCTCGCCTCGCGTCATATTCTTTCCTATTGTTTTCCATCCTTGCTATCCGCCTCTTCCTTTCATCCTCTCTACTCCTGTTCGTCGTCTTCATTCTCAACTAGTTTTTTTCCACCCGTCCTCATCTCTGTGTCCCCACATTCTGATGCGTTGCACCCTCTCCTTGCAACAGCTCCCCCCCAGCCTCTTCCCCGCGCGCCAACCTCGCCTCGCGTCATATTCTTTCCTATTGTTTTCCATCCTTGCTATCCGCCTCTTCCTTTCATCCTCTCTACTCCTGTTCGTCGTCTTCATTCTCAACTAGTTTTTTTCCACCCGTCCTCATCTCTGTGTCCCCACATTCTGATGCGTTGCACCCTCTCCTTGCAACAGCTCCCCCCCAGCCTCTTCCCCGCGCGCCCCCCCCTCT